AGTTTTCCCAGCACCATATGTTGAGACTTTCCTTTCTCCATTACACACTCATGACTCCTTTGTCGTAGATTCACTTTCCACATAAACGTGGGTTTGTTTGTTTTCTCATTTCTATTCCATTGGTCGTTGTGTCCATTTTTATTCCAATACTATACTGTTTTTATTACTATAGCTTTGTAGTATAGCTTGAAGTCTGGGAATGTGATACCTGTGTTCCTCTTATTTTTTGTCAAGATAGCTTTGGCTATTCAGTATATTTTTTGGTTCCATATAAATTTCAATAAAATTTGTTCTATTCCTTTGAAGAATTTCATTGAAACTTTGATAGGGATTGATTGAATCTTTATTTTGCTTTGGGTAAGATGTACATTTTTAACAATATTATTTCTTCTATGATCATGGACTATTTTTTCTTTTTCTTTATGTCTTCTACTTCTTTTACGATATCTTATAGTTTAAATTGAATAGGTTTTTTTTTTACCTCTTTTGGTAGATTTGCTAATGTAGGTAGGATTGTTTTCTTGATTTCTTTTTCTTTCAGTTCTTTATTTGCATATAGCAATGCAACGGTCTTTTGTATGTTGACTTGTAACCTGCCACTTTACTATACTGATTTATTGTTTGTAGTAGTTTTTAGTGGAGTCTTTAGTTTTCATGTCAACTGCAAATAGTGGTGGTTTTACTTCGTCTTTTTCCAATTTGGATTTTTTTTTATTTTGCTCATCTGATTATGTTGCTAGGAATTCCAATACTATGTTGAACAGTACTGGTGACAGTGGACATCTTTGTCATGTACCTGATCTTAGAGGAAAGCTTTCAGTCTCACCATTCTGTATAATGCTAGCTGTAGGTTTGGCATTATGACCCTTACATGTTAAGGTTTGTTCCTTCTATCCCCATTTTACTAAGAGTTTTTAAGCATAAATGGATGATGAATATTGTCAGATACCTTCTCTGCATATATTGATGTGATTTTTGTCTTTCCTTTTGTTGGTATAGTGAATTGTATTGATTGATTTGCTTATGTTGAACAATCCTTGCCTGCCTGGAATAAATCCCACCTTTTCATAATATATGATTCTGTCAATGTATGGCTGAACATAGTTTGCTAAAAATTTGTTGAGAATTTTGCACTTCTCATCGGGGATATTTGACCGTTGTTTTCTTTTCATGTAATGTCTTTGCCTGCTTTTGGTATCAGAGTGATATTGGCCTTATAACATGTGTTTGGGAGCATACCCTCTTCAATTTTTTGAAGAACTTGAAAAGGATAGGTACTATTTCCTCTTTGAAGGTTTGGTAGAACTTACCAGTAAAATCATCTGGCCCTTGGTTTTTATTTTTTCAGAGACTTGATTACTGTTTCAATTACCTTGCTTACAAGTTGTGTGTTAGATTTTCTGTTTCTTCCTGATTGTCTTCAAAATTTGTATGCATCTAAGAATTTTTCCATTTCTTCCAGATTTTTCAATTTTTTTGGCATAAAGACATTCATAGTAGTCTCATTATTACTGAGATTGCCAGGGATTATTACTGAGATTGCTGTAGCAACTTCTCTTTTGCTTCTGATTCTAATTATGAGAATTTTCTCCCTCTCTAGCAAGAGGTTTGTCTATTTTTTTCCTCAAAAACCTAGCTTCTGGTCTCACTGATCTTTTGAACTATCTTTTTTACTTCTGTTTCATTTATTTCTATTCTAATTTTTATTATTTCCTCCTCTTATTGACTTTTTGTTTAATTTGTTCTTTTTTAGTTCCTTTAGTTATAAGATAGTTCTTATTTTCACATTCAACCACCCACTCTGCCTTTTAATTGGCTAGTTCTTTCCATTTACATTTAGAGTAATTATATGGATGCTTGCTGCTGCCATTTTGTCTTTAGTTTACTGGTTTTACCTATTGATTTCCTTATTTATTTCTGATGGATTGTCTTTCATTTAGATAGGAGTGCTTCCTTTAACATTTCTTATAGGGGAGGTCTAATGTTTGCAAATTCCTTCACTTTTGTTTGTCTGGGAGGCCTTCATTTCTCACTGATATTTAAAAGACAGTCTTGGGTCTCCCTGGTTGCCTAGGGGTTGAGTCTCAGTGCTATCACTGTGAAGGCCTGAGTTCAATCCCTGGCTAGAGATCTAACCCACATATGGCACAGCAGACCTCTCTTGTCCTGCCTGCTGCTCCCCTCAGCAGTGTATTTCAGTAAATCCACCTGTTCTGCTCCCTACTCGATGTCTCTGGTAAATCCTCTCACCACCACCCCCACCCTAGCCTATACCCCAGTTCTTCTACACAAAATTAAATAAAATCTTTAAAAGACAGTCTTATAGGCTATAGTATTCTTGGCTGGCATTTTTAATTTTTTTTTTATCTTTAAGTATTTTAAATACATCATTCCATCTTCCCCTTGTTCTCAGAGTTTCTATTGAGAATATGAAATATGCCTGATGGGAATATCTTTAAACATTACTTGCTTTCCCACCCTAATCACCTTCAATATTCCCTCTTTGTCTTGAACGCTTGCTAGTTTTACTACTATGTGTCTTGGTTGAGATATCATTGCATTTAGTTAACTCAGATGTTCTTTTAGATTCCTGCATGATAAATTTAATGCCTTCCCCACACCTGGGGAATTAAATTATTTTATTTTTATATTGGTTATTATTATTATTTTTGTGTGTGTGGGACCCTCGCCGGTGGCCGGGGAACGAACCGGCGTTGCAGAGGCTGCGGGCAGCCTTGCAGCCCAGCACTCAACCACTGCGCCACCAGGGGAGACCCTATTGGTTATTATTTTTATATTAGTTATCTTTATGGTGTCAGATATTTCTCAAATTGCCTCTTCTTTTTTTTAAAAAAAAAATTATTTATTTATTGTGTATAACTGAGGTGTAGGCCAGAGGTGCAGGTGATGAAAGGAGTCACCAGAGACAGAGTGGTGAGCAGAACAGATGGATTTACTGAAATACACTAAGGGAGCAGTGAGTGAGTCAGAAGTCTGCTGCACCATATGTGTGTGGATTAGCTCCCTGGCTGGGGATTGAATTTGGGCCATAGCAGTGATAGCACTGAGACATAACCCCTAGGCTACCAGGGAGGCCCACCTTTTTCTCTTTTTTGGTTTGTTTTTTTTAACATCCCATTTTTCTCTCTTCTTCCACTTAGGTCCTTAGTGCATTATTATCTTCGAGGTCCCTGATTCAATCCACATTTGCTCTAGTCTTACATTTCACAAATTCTGAAGGCTAATTTGAATGGCATATAGCTTTGCAAAGGTTCGGTTTTGTTACAATATGTAAATAATCAGCTTCTTTGCCCTGCCTCAGTAGCCTCTTTGCAGGAAGACAGTACCCTCTTGCAAAAGCCCTTATCCAAAGAAAAGTTGCAATTTGTTCAAACCGAGGTTTGCTATTTAGGGCCTCTACTAGCAGTACAAGAACTACACCTATGTCTCCAAAGTCTAAACTAAACATAAACTGTGAGCTTTTCTTGGATTAACTGAATATTGCCAAAATTGGATTCCAGGTTTCTCTTTTGGGAAAACCTCTACATGCTTTATTAAAAAATAAGTCTGATCAAATTCTGTGTAAATACAAGAACATCAAGACTTTCAGCCGTCTACATGGGACATCCCAATGATCAGATTCTCTTCTTCTTTTTTATATATGAAAAATAAGGGAACACTCTTATGGCAACAAGGGGACCACCATTCACCTAAAGGATATTATAGCCAGCAACTGGACCCTGTAGCTAGATGCTACTCTCCTTACATCAGAGTGATTTTGGCTACTTCTCTTTTGATATAGGCCACTGAGGGTACTATTATGGAATGTTCCTTAAATATTTTTGTACCTCACACAATAGAAGCCATCTTAAATTTGCATCACACATAACATTTTTCAGTAAGTTGCCTTACCTCCTATAAATCCTTTTGCTGACTGCCACATAAGTCTTTCACATAGTAATAATCTTAACCTTCTCTTTTCTGCTACCAACCAAGTTACTTTACAACTGCCTGAGACTGATGGGTCATCACTTGACCCCTCATGAGGCTTTGCAAGAGACTGCTTTGCATAACGCAGACATCTCATGATTCTCCGATGGTTTGTATGTGAAAGTTGGAAAGGGGAATGTTATGCTGGATATGCAATATCTATGCCCTGATGTTGTTAAGTGGCATTTTATACCTTTTAACAACTATAGTTCAGGAAGCTGAATTACATGCAATCACTGTACCTGGCCAAGGACAAAACTGCCAACATTTACAGTAACAACAGGTGTGCTTTCAGAGCGGTTCCTTACTTTGGAATGTTGTGGAAACAATGGCATTTCCTTACTTTCAGTTGCGATCAAACCAAAAATGTTCCATATGTTTAGGAATTGTTGGAAGCCATATTTTACCTGCTAATTTGGTTATCATTAAGATACCAGGACATTCCAAACTAGACTCTCCACAAGCAAAGGGAAATCACCTTGCTGTTTCTTTTTTTTTAATTAATATTTTGTATAATTCTTACATCATTTTTCATTTTTGCACAATGTATGCATTTTCATTTTGGTTATATTCCCCATACAATTGCACCCCACCCTTATTTTGACCCTAATCCTTCCTCTTCCACCCCCTCGCCCCCCCCCCACCCCGTAGTGTGTCTCTGGTTTATAGTTGCTTGTTGATTTTGATTTTTACTTTGTATTAATTAGTCTTTTTCCTGGTCCCTTATTTAGGTTTTCTAAATTTCTGCTGTGAGTGAGACCATCCGGTATTTTTCTTTTTCTTTCTGACTTATTTCGCCGTGCATGATCTCTTCTAGTTCCATCCATGTTGCTACAAACTGCATGTGTTTTATCTTTTTTGATTGCTGAGTAATATTCCATTGTGTATATGTACCACCTCATCTTTTTTTTAATTTATTTTTTTATTTTTATGTTCCCCATACAATTGCAACCCCCTGATTTTGACCCCAATCCCTCCTTTCCCCGCCCCCCCCCAAAGTATGTCTCTGGTTCGTAGTTGTTTGTTGATTTTGATTTTTTTCTTTCTTATAATTATTCTTTTTCCTGGTCCCTTATTTAGGTTTTCTAGATTCCTGTATGAGTGAGACAATCCAGTATTTTTCTTTTTCTTTCTGGCTTATTTCACTGAGCATGATCCTTCCAGCTCCCTCCATGTTGCTGCACATTGCATGTGTTTATCTCTTTTGAATGCTGAGTAATATTCCATGATGTATATGTACCACATCTTCTTGATCCAGTCATCTATTTCTGGGCATTTGGGTTGTTTCCAAAGCTTAGCTATTGTAAATAGTGCTGCTATAAACACAGGGATGCAGGTGCCCTTTTTAATTAATGTTTCTGTGTCCTTTGGGTAAATACCTAGGAGTGGAATTGCTGGATCATCTTGCTGTTTCTGTGAGGAAAGCTGCCTCAGAAAAGGAAAACCCAGAGTATAAATTAAATAACCATTGGCATGACAACTAGGAGAAAACACTGGTTTGGACCATGCAGCAACTTAGTCCTACCAGAGATTTTTCAACACCCTCTCCTGGCTACAGAAAATGTACTTAACTACTGGTCCACCTAAAATTGATAGCATTTGTGGATTGATATTTGTGGGGAAGTATTAATAAAGCTGCAAAACTACCTACTTGTCCCATCTGCCCATAATACAACCTAGGGAATCCGTTCCCATAGCTCCTGGACACTTGACGTTGCCCCAGGGCCCATTTGAGGTGTGGCAATTGGGTTTCTGTCTCATAGATAGAAATACGATTTCATTATGATCTGTATGTGTTCCCATTGGACTGATGTTTTCCCTTGCAAACAGGTTACTGCCTCTTTTGTGGCCAAGGTCCTTTTGGAAAAGATGATGCCTACCTAAGAAATTCTTCTTGAACACCACAGTGATTGGTCAGGTGCTCCATCAAGTCTGTGCTCTTTAGCCAGTGTTACAACATTTTCATTGTCTCTGTCATCTTCAATTTTCTGGTTTAGTGGAACACACCAACAGCACTATTAAAACTAAATTAGCCCAATTCATAGAAATACCTTCGCCAAAAGCATTGTCTATGGTACTTCCAAACCTCAGATCCACACCTTTTGGAATTCACAAACTATAAAACTTTGACTTTCTGAGATAGTCAAGGTACAATGCACCCTATGTACCTAGGCCTTCCCTGTTTTGATCCTAAATTAATCGAGGATATATTTCAACACTGTAAGGGTCTAATTGCCTCTGCTAAGAATAACCATACTCTGGTGCAGCAATCTTTTCACAAAACACTCCAAGGAGAGACAACCTAATCAATATACAATTGCAATTACAATCTGGATATTTCCTTTATTGGAAAAAACACCCTCACAAAAATCCTCTTCAGCATTGCTGGAAAGGATGTATCCAGTGCTGCTGACAAACAATTGTCAGCAAATTTCAGGGAATATATCCTTGGGTTTTGGTGACACACCTGAAGAAAGCACTACCTCCTGCCTGGGCTTGCACACCACTTGCTGGCATGAAGATGAAGATTTTCAGGAAGTTGAGGCAGACAGCATTCTAGAAGACAGCCTTCTCAAACTGACCAAACTAGGCATGTACACATTTTTCTCATTATTCACTCTTCATGTCAAGTGTTTTTTTCTCAGTTTCCCTTGAACAAAGAATGCTGTCCACAACTCCTAATGAATTATATGAGGGAGAAACCCTTCTAACTGTTTAAGATTTTTTAAGTTAGAAAAATCAACAAAATTTCTACAGTCAAAACATTTCTCAGCTCAACAACCTGTCTTTTAACTCAAAAGCTGAAATAAAATGACAGTGTGGTCTCCTGGTCATCTATGTGCTAACAAAGAGATAGATGGCACTATCTGCAATATCTCCTGACATGTGGCTTGTTGCCTCTGAGAAGTAGATCTTTAATTACATAAAACTTAGAGACAGCATGTTTGATTATAGCAAAGGCACCAAATAACCTTTGGCATTTTTGATCTACTTATCAACTGACTTTTCAGTTTTGGTTTCTGGTGTATAGTCATGATACAAACAGGGATTATAATGTTGAAATTTTCCCCTTTTTGTGCGTATTGCCAATCTCTGAACTTTTGTCTATAAAGCTCGTAGAAACAACACGCTAGAAGAGTTGATGCTGGAGCAGTAGATCAAGACAATCTCCAAGATGATTCAGCAAGGCATAGGCTTTGCACGTAACACTCAAGAAGTTCCTTATAGGCACTGAGGGACAAGAGGCCCTGATGCTGGCATATACATAAGTGTGGATCTGTGATGCTTTTAGACAAAGATCCTAATCAGAGGTAGAACTATCAACATTACTATTCAGAACTTTATTTAAATGAGGTAGGAAGGCAAGAGAGTAAACCACCTGTGCAGGTTTGCAAATGACAGAACCCATAATGGCCTGCACACTCCCACTGTTTCCTTCCTGAGGAGTGATGGTGCGGGTTGTCTGAGGGTCCAGGAAGAGAAGTCAGAGTGCACTTGACTCTCGAAACTGCTCGATTCTTCTGTTGTTTTGTGAATAAATCCTGTTTGTGGTTTTACTAGCTCATTATCTTTTTGAGGTTAATAAAATCATACATCAATTAATTTTGTTGTAATAAAAAAAACTGTTGAGCAACACTGATAAAAATGTTATGAGGCATGGACAACACAGAAATAGGTTAGTTCTTGATGGCTCATAAAACTTTTCATGAAAGCTGAACATCGAAGAAGAGTAAGAAGTCTACAGGCCAGAGCAATTCTTGAAAGAGAAGAGCATGAGCATTTACAAAATAACAAGTGGAGAAGGTTGTCATTGGAGCATAATAATTACAAAAGCTGCCTTTAGGATTCTGGCCTTTACCAGGTTGATGGGGGAGAGTCAGGGAAGACATGTGTGTTTAGGATGATTAGCACAGCAGCGTTATATGGGATGGACTGGAGAAAGAAGTTTCCTGCCACAACCTAAGGGAGATTAGAGGGCCTGATGGAGGAGCAATTACTTTCAGGAAGAAAGGGGTGCAGAAAGCAGATGGCCAGAGAGGATGCTGGAGGAGGAAGCAGCAACCCTGGACACTAGTCATGTATGCGAGAGGATTGTCCGTGAATGGGAAACGCTGTTGTGGTTCAAAAGGGAAATAGAGCCTGGGCAGAGGTTTTTGTTTTTCAAACTTCACAGTGTGGTAAGAGCTGCCTTGTGACTGTTCTCTGCTTCTCGACGGTACCTCTCTGTCACCCTCAATTCATGAGCTCTGAAGTTCTGGGAACTTGAGATTATCCTGCATTCCTCAGAGAGACAGGTATACCCAGAAAAGTCACAGGAGGTCTTGATAGAAACTATGAGAGAAGAAAAAGGGGGAAACCACTAAGAAAATTGGGAGAGGGACTAGGAGGCAGAGAAAATAGGGAGAGAGCTTGAGGGAGGGAGGAAACAGAAAGGGGAGACTTACCAGCGATTCCTAAGCCAGAAGGCTAAGCCTCCACCAATCAGAAGGAGCAACACCAGCAACCCCAAAACTGTCCCAGCGGTGGAGGTGTGTCTCCCCTCTGCTTAAGGAACACAGATGTCTCCCTCAGCACAGGATTCCTGACTCCAAGTCCCCTCATCTAAGCACCAGGAATGGTACCAGTTGCTTCTATTTCCTCCCCCAGGAATCCACGTGGATTCCTCTGAAGTTGGGTTGCCCCATATTTCCTTAGACTCTGGGCATCCACAATTCTGTTCACTGCTGCACAGAGAGGAGAGAGAGTTGTCATGTAGCTGGAAGCCCTGTGTCTAACCCCAGCTCTCCACGTTCACGTGGTGAAACAACGGGCTGCTGGCTTGACCAAGCTCGGGTCAATGTTCTCATCTATAGAAGAGAATAATTGTACCTGCTCTCCAGGTACTGGGCCCCCACCTGGACTTAATACTTTGGTACTGTCAACCTTCTCCAAAAGTGTGACCCTAAATTAATCGATCTCAAGTTTCCTAATCAGCCCCAGTGAGAAAGCTGCCAGACTGGACACCCCTCGTCTTTCTTGTGTACGGAACACCTTATCTCAATCCTTTTTGGTTTAGATCTCTATTCCCTTCCTTCCTGTATTGGAATCCCCTCCCTTTAGCCCTGCTGGGCGGGGTGGGGTGGGGGCTCATCTCAGAATCTACTTTGTCATGAGTGGGGTGATTTTCACCATCTGCAGTCCCTCTCTCTAACCTGAGGACTCTCCTCCCATTTCCAGCCTGGACCCCAGGTCTTTCTCACCCCAGTGGAGGATGATGTCCTGGTCTCCGAGACTGCTGTGCTTCACGTGACAAGTCAGTCCAGCCGCCTGCCCAGCTGCCACGTCCAGGGTGACTCGGAGATACCATGTCCCGTCTGTGTTGGGCAGCATGTCCCCTTGCTGAGCAGGCTGTTCCTGCCCACCCAGCATCCACATGGCCCACGCTGGCTTTGGGTAGAATCCTGAGACATGGCACACTAGCAGCAGGTGGTCTGATCCAGGGATGGGGGCACCTGTCAGCCAGGCCTCAGGCTTCACTGCATCCAACAAGGGAAGGGGAGGGGGGATTTTAAGAAGACTGCATTTGAGGGTCCTGGAATCTTAGCAGGACCGTGCACCCCACATTTCCACTTCTGGAGGGGAAGTCTCACGCTTCAGTTCAAGTGCATTAGCTTCTCCAGGAAAGCCTCCCTAACACTCATCCCCTTCCTGCTCCAGATGCAGCCTTCCTCTAGAGCCCTGCTCTGTACCCTATGCACTCGGCATTAGCGATAACATGGGGGCATGATTTAGACATTGCTTTGTTTAACTGTCTGCTCGTCCTCCCCTTCATGTAGGGATTCAGTGTTAATTTAATTCAATTCCTGAAACCAAGGAGGGCTAGGTGAATTCTGCAGATGAATCAATTCCCTCATACTTTGTCTATACCCTTTTGAGCCTTCCCCTTCCTCTGATGCTTCCTGGGATGTGAACTTGGGAGTGGAAAAGCCCAGATGGAGTTGGGGTGAAGAAGGGAAGGGGCTAGTCAGACTGACCTTGCTTCTCCAGCTCTGACTTCCCGGCCTCAAGGATGCCTCTGGTAAACTGAGGGCAGGTCTCATTGAGGAGCCACTGGACTGTTGCCCTGGTCCCGAGGTCATGGTTGAGCACTTGGAGGATCTTTCCCACCCACTGCGGGGCATCTGGGGCTGCCACCCAAGCAGTTCCTCGGAAACCCATGATATCGCTTCCTTGAAATGCTACGTGGATGAAGCTTTCCGGGGTGCTCCCAGGGTGCACCTCACATCCACCGGCCAGCTGGATCTCAAAGGGATCTGAGGAAAGAAATGGTTATTGGTCAAGGAAGGGTTTGAAAGATTGGAAGTGATTAAGGAGAAGAAATTGGCGAGAGATTACTGGGAACTGGGAGTTCAAGGTAAGAGAGTGGGAAAACTGGAGCAGGAGGAACTGGGGCTGTTTTGAGGCGGCAGAGGCTGGGACCTCTCCGCAGAAATGGCAGCGAAAGGGAGGTGCGCGAGACCACAGCAGAGAATCTACCAGGTGGGGCCAGAGTCAGAGGGTTTCACGCCATGACTCCCCTGACCAGTTGCCCAGGATGCCAACCCTCAGCTCACAGTCTGTTTGCACCAGTTTGACGAACTCCTGCACGTCCCTGGAGAAGCTGCTTCGATAAACCCGAAACAGTTGCTGCAGCCTTTCCCACTGCTTGTCAGTGAACCGGCCCCGCGCCCAGGGCCTCAGGAAGCGGATGGTGTCTGAGTCGTGGCTCCACGTGTGTATCCGCATCTCCCCCAGCCACGTCGAGCCATCCGTGCGCGACCAGCTGCTGTTGCCGAAGGAGGAGATCTGCAGACAGCGGAGCGGGAACGCCCCTGGCGGGGCTGGGGGAGAAGGAAGGTCGCGGGAGCGTGGTGAGTGGCCGGGAGCTCCGCGGGGGAGAGGGTGCGGAGGGAGGGCGGGAAAGGAAGGGGTGGCGGGAGGCCCGGAGGAGGGGAGAGGGCAGAGAAGGGCGGGGAGGGAAAGGCACCTGCTCCTAGCCGCTCTCACTCCCCGCCCACGCCCCTCGTCCTCCGGCGCGTCCCCATCCCAGGGGTCCTGGGACCCGGGAGGAGCCTGCTGGTAAGCTTGCGGCTCCCGCATCTGGTGCCCCCCCCTTTCCAACCTGCCTCCCTCTGGCCGCACTCCGGGGCGACTAGCCCGGCGCACTCACCCTCAGAACTCCCCCAGATGTGGGGCAGTCCCCAGAGCAGCAGCAGGGGCAGGCGGCCCATCTCTCCCGGCTGAGGAGACTAAGGCGGCTGCGAGCGCGCGCAGGGGAGGCTCCGGCCGCCGAGCTCCTCCCGGCTGCGCCCCGCCCCGCGCCTCCCAGCGGGGGTCCGCCGCGGCGACGGCTTCACCCCGTGACACATTTCCAAGCCCAAACTCGGACAGGACTCCCAGTCTGGCCCGCCCGGGTTAGCTTCCAGTCCCCGTGAAATTCCCACCACCAATTCACCAGTGCACCATCACCATATCCCTTGTCTTCTTCCCACCCCTCCTGATCCCTCTCCCTCCTGCACCCCTACAGAATGTCTCTGGTCTGTGGTTGCCTGTTGATTTTGATTTTTTACTTTATTATAGGTCCCCCCCCCCCGCCCCATCCCTTATTTGGATCCTCTACATTCCTCCTATAAGTGAAACCATCCGACATTTTTCTTTCTGGCTTATTTCACTGAGCATAATCCCTTCCAGCTCCCTCCATGTTGTTGCAAATGGCATGAGTTTATCTTTTTTGATTGCTGAGTAATATTCCATGGTGTATATGTACCACATCTTCTTGATCCAGTCATCTATTTTTGGGCATTTGGGTTGTTTCCATAGCTTAGCTATTGTAAATAGTGCTGCTATAAACATAGGGGCACAGGTGTCCTTTTGAATTAATGTTTCGGTGTACTTTGGGTAGATATCTAGGAGTGGAATTGCTGGATCATATGGAAGCTCTATCTTTAGTAGGTTGAGGAATCTCCACACAGCTTTCCATAGTGGTTGGACCAGTTTGCACTCCCACCAGCGGTGCAGGAGAGTTCCTTTTTTTCCACATCCTCGCCAACATTTGTTGTTGCTAGTTTTTTTGATTTGTGCCATTCTCACTGGTCTAAGGTGGTATCTCATTGTGGTTTTGATTTGCATTTCCCTGATTACAAGTGATGTTGAACACTTTTTCATATGCCTGTTGGCCATTTACATTTCCTCTTTGGAGAAGTGTCTTTTTAGCTCTTCTGCCTATTTTTTGAGTTGGTTGACTACATTAATTTTAAAAGCAGGACATAATGCTATCTATGTTATAACTCTGACCATATTAAAAATGCAAAGAAAAAAAAAAAACAAGAGGAAGCATTCTGGCTCAGCTGCGATTTTAGCGGATGTATAAAGGTGGAAAGACTATGGATGACCTCATTTTGCTTTACATTTTTTATGTCTTTTAAAATTTCTAACAGTGCAAATCTCATACTTCTAATGAATTGAAAACATAAAAACTAATTTTCTCAGTTGTCTATTGGGAGGATTGGATTATTTTGGCTAAGATTCTTGTATAACCCAAGATTCTTCCATTTCAGGGTTCCAACCCCTCTTTCCTCCTATTTTCCATTGTCCCTGCTCTCCTCCTCCTTCTTGACCTCCACCCTTCCTTAGTGGGGTCGGAGAGGTGCTGGTACATGGCCTTCTCTCACCCTACCTACCTGGGCTCTGCCTGTTCCTCACTCATTCATTCTCCAAAGTGAGCTGCTTTTTTGAAGAACAGAGACAAGATTACAAGGAATACCTGAACAATCATCTTCCCCACTTCTTAAACACTGAAACCAAGAACAAGGAGTCATTGTGTTCACAACCTCAAACTGGGGGAGGAAAGGCCCCTCTTGGGCCAGTCAGAAACTGAGCAGCACCCTGTCACCACCTCACTCCTTTCATCCAACCCATGGACAATTCTCCTGTATCTGATCTCCTTTGAAATAATAGCTCTTGAATGCATACCTTTGTCTACATGCCCACCTCCACCACCACAATCTCATGAAATCACTTTTTGCCTGATATCTTGAAATCACTTCCTTAAGGTGGAGACCATATGGCCTACAATATCATGTGGCGTCTGACCTTGACCTGCCTTCTCACATTCTCTCTCACCCTCGTCTCACCTGCTCTGTATCCTAGACAAGATGTACTGCTTTCAGTTCCTCTATTATGCACAGCTTCTTACTGCCCTTGGTCTTTAAATAAACTAGTTCCTTCTACTTGGAAATTTCTTGCCTAATTGGGCAATTTTATATTGGGCAATTTTATATTCCTCCCCTCTCTCCCTCCCAATGCCTAGTTATTTCCCAAGCAGAGTTCAGTTCAAAGATCACCGTCTCAGAGGAGTCTTCCTGCTCCAAGTTCTCTGTCAGCAAAGGAACTAGGCGGCCCCCACCTCTACTCCTTGCCCTGGCTATATTTGCAAACCTTTTCCCCAACACAAATCAGAACTTGTAATCTTAGAAATGTTTCCATCTGTCTCTCCTAAATCCATTGAAGAGCTGCCAGAATTCAAGGCCCATGCCCCATTACTCTGGTTCCTGCCATTCTGCCAACATTAGCCATTCCACCCTCCCACACTTGATTGCAGTAGGGGGCCTGGAGAGAAGAGATTTCTCTCCGCATGCTAGGCTGGGCCTTGGGGATAGCCCTTACCTAACCTACCTTATGATGCTTAATGTTGCCCCAAAACAGTTTGAGCTAACTTAGGAAAATTTCAAATTTTTGCCAAAAGTAAAAGGATGCAATTAAATTAAGATATAAAATTGCCCAAATAGTGGGTAGAGGTCTGGATGAGAGAGAAGCTGTCAGTATGGAAGTAAAAAGAAAATGATTATATGAATCATGGATGAACATCTACCTCTATACTCTTCAAATTTCCAACCTACCTTTAAAACCTTGAAGCTTTTGGTAAAATGGCAGCAAAGTAAAGGTGTCATGCTCACCTGCTACATAAATGCACACTAGGTTGCAGCAGAAAAAAGTCAATTACACCTGAGAAAAACCAAACAGAAGACTAAGGTACATATTAGCTGCAATGGTCTGGTGGAAAGGCGTGGGGAAGCTTGGAGTGGGCTGTGTTTACAGTGGGGGCAGCACAGTTCGCCAGGTGGGGGGCAACTGCCGCACTGAAACCCCTGCAGCTGTTGGCTCAGACATGTGCCAACATCTGGGACTTTGGTGACTCAGCACTGTGCTGGATAAGGGGGTGCACAGAATTGGTATCCAGGACAGAGGGGGCGCTGCTGGAGAACTACAGAAGCAGGGGGCAGGGTGATGACTGACTCAAGCCTGAATTTCCCAACTGGGGCTTGCACCATGGAACCAGGTTGGGTTGGTCACCTGTGTCTCCTCACGGAGAGGCAACTACTTGAAGCCTGAAGCTGAGATGTTCAAAAAATACCTGGCTGCCCTGCCTCCCCCACCCCCAAGCCTCCTCCTGCTAAAACCAAGATAACAAATGAGCACTTTTATTAACCAGAGTTTAAGTACCTGTTACCAACAGGAACAAGCACTCCAAGATAAGGCTGTGTGGTGGAAAAGAAAAGAGAACTCCCAGCTTGTAACACTGTATAAGCTACAATCCATGCCTAGGGCTGCAGCTAATGCTCATCATTACCTGGAGCTAGAAGCTGGCATGAGACTTTACAAGTCATAATGAGAAGGTCACCTTGAGGAGGGACTCTGTGTGGGCCCCACCACGGGACTTTGGCATACACAGTAGAATAGGAAGCTTGAATCCCTGTGTCCACTGAAGATGACCCTTTAGTGCAATACAGCCCTGGTTCTGTTCTACCAATTGCCCCCTTGCTGGCACCAGTTATCCAACCACTTCAACATGTGTAAAGGCAACAGTCTGAAATCTATCCCTATTACAACCCATAGTCACTAAAAATGAAGAGATAGAGCATACCACAAATGCTGAGGCAAAACAAACGTATGAATTAAGAAACCCTTAAACAAGTGTCAATTCAGCAGAACTACAGAATATGCCTGAAGAGGAGTTTGAGGTAACAGTTATAACAGTGCTCATGGAACTCAAAAAAAACAATGAATGGTATAAAACAGGAACATAATAAAGACTGAGAAAGCATGAGACAATTGTAATTGGAAGTAATAAGTTAAAAAATAGTATAATTAACTGAAGTATACAATGGAAGGCCTCAACGTCAGACAAATGCCAGTAATGGAGGGAGTTAATGAGCTTAAAAGCAGTGTCAGAGAATGTGCAAATAGTGCTCACAGAGAAAAAGGAATTTAAAAGAATGAAAATAGCGTAAGAGCCCTTTTGGGACAACCTAAAGAGAAATAACATCATATCATATAGGCCCCAGAAGGAGACAAAAGAAACAAAAACATAGAAAATGTATTTAAAGAAATAATTGGTGAGAACCATTGCAATCTGGAAATGAACCAGACATCATGATCTCAGTCAGAAGCCTACAGAGTGCCAAACAAAATAATACTAGATAAACCCATACAAGACACAGGATAATAAAACTGTTGAACCAATGACTAGGATAGAAAACTAAAAACATCAGAGGGACCTAATAGACCATGGTGGAGGGGTATGGGTGCCTCGGTGGTGTGGCAACATGCATCTGAAGAGGTGTGATCACATACCTGTGCTTCAGATACAGTGCTGTAGACCAATGTTACCACAATAAATAAGAAAATGAATGAAAGAATGAATGTATGGATGAATGAATGAATAAAAGATAAAAAATAAAAACTTCAAAGATAAAATGATAACCAATATAGAAACACTAATCAGTCTGTCGGTTGATCTTTTTGTAGAAGCACTACAAGCAAGAAGGGAATGGCACGAATAATTTAAAGTAGTAAAAGATTTGCAGGGGTGATGGGGAGGGAACTTCCCCCTGGGTGGAAGTTATGTAGCACTGGCTCTTGTTTAAGAGGAGGTATAGCTATTTGGCTAAATGCATTTCTTCTAATGAAACCCCAGTTATAAATATGATTTATATTTATAAATCATTTTATAAATATTTTTAATTTCACCTTGAGAATTACCAGATTTTTTAAAAATATATTTTCCTTACTTGAGGTTGTAGGCAAGAAAATCCTTTCACAGATTTTACTTTCAAGTCAAACATGATTGCAATCTGCCTATCTTTTCTTTGAAATGAGTAATCATGTTGGGCCTCCCCGGTGGCGCAGCGGTTGAGCGCTGGGTTGCGAAGCTGCCCGCGGCATCTGCGGCGTTGGTTCGATCCCCGGCTGCTCCCC